TTAATAAACATGCGCCATCTTGCATATGAATCACTTCAAATGTGGGGAGGGGGTCCCCTGAGATGGCAGAACTCTGATGTGAAATTTAAAAGGAAAATACAGCTTTCCTCACATTATTAAAATATAAATACAGGCTAGAGGAACAGAGCACAGAAGCAGGCTGGAGAGAAACATAAATATTGGTACTATGTTTCAATGAACATGATGTCTCATAGGCTGTCATCCATCCTCACAGCTACTAGCTCTTCCTTCCCTTCAATGTCTTCTGTTAAAAATCAAGTGTAACAGAACTCTAGAATACAGCTTCTTATTTCACAAATCTAAATGCGCTTAGGACAATCATAAATCCAATTCTAAATCATTTTGTCTTCCATCCATGTTTCAAACGTTAACATGAGGTGAAAACACAGTTGCAAATCAGTATTTCCTGCTACTTAGAAATTTGCCTAAGAGTCTCCAGGTCTTTTTTTTCATAGCTTCTAAGTTACTCCTGTGGCCTCTGAGGCCAAATTTTTATCCTTGTCTAAAACCTGATTCTCCTTAAAATCCAGCACCAAGATGGCATAACAGCCCAACACCATCAGACCAAAAATGAGGAAACTCCACTGTTCCAATTTGTCTTGGAAATCATATGGGTGGAATCACTAGTTCTTCATCTAATCCTACTTGAGAACCTAGAACCTCCACCTCCTCTTCCTAGATTCATTTTCTTCTACGCCCATATTCATGCAACAGTGGCAATAGGGGCCGGGGCTAGGTCATCAGAATTCAAATTCTGCTTTCCTACCTGAAAATAGTACTAGCTGTCTGGAGTGAGGAGAATGTTCATTATCTTAATAAGAATGTGGGTCATACAAGTGACTACAGCTGTTAAAACACATCAAGATCTGTACATTTGACTCCATGTACATTACACCTTGATTTTAAAAAGAATATTTTAATTTTTTTCCAAAACAGCAAATAAGAGGAATCAACAAGACTTTAGGAGAAGCATCTACTTCCTCCGCACTCAATGGCTTTACAAAATGCATTAGATATATATGTGAGAATTTGCTTTTGCTCTTCTTGGAAGCACAAGATACTATAACATGGGTTCCTTTGAAGCAGGTCAGGCAGAGTGAGAGGGGAGGAGGGCTCTCCTTTCCTCTTCAGTGTTGTGCCCCTCTGTATGGGTTGAATGCCTAGCTCCAAATGTGAAACAAACAAAAATGTCAACAGTTGGGCTCGCTGGCTCAGCCTGCAATTCCAGCACTTTGGGAGGTAAAGGCGAGTGGATTGCCTGAGCCCGCGGGTTCGAGACCCAACCGGGCAACTTGACGAGACCTCGTCTCTACAATAAATCAAAAATTAGCCAGGCGTGGTAGCACGCGCCTGTAGTTCCGGCTACTTGGAAGGCTGAGGTGGAAGGATCGCTGGAGCCCAGCAGGTCGAGGCTGCGGTGGCCGGGAGCATGCCACTGCACTCTAGTCTGGGCAACAGAGTGGAACTCAGACTCAAATAAAAAAAATGTCAACAGCTCTAAGATGAATCCAACCACCTCTCAATACTTCCACCAGACCACCACTGTCTCTCACCAGGATCATTGTAACTTGGTCACCCTGCTTCTATCCCTCCTGCCTCTTCCACAGTCTCTTCTTGACACAATAGCTAAAGTGATCCTTCTAAACTCTACGTCATTCATGTTTCTTCTAAACTTAAAAGCCTCCAATGCCAACCCACTCCACTTAGAGCAAAAGGCAAAGCCTTTAAAATTACTTACTAGACCCCATGTGATCTACCCCCTGCTATTTCTCCTCACTGGCCTCCTTTCCTTCCACTGTCTCCTTGCTAACTCCACATCCACCACACTGGCCTCCTTGCCATTCCCAGATCATGCCCAGCATGCTCTCACTTCAGGACCTTTGCACTAGTGCTAGTTCCTTCTGTTGGAACACTCTTCTTCCAGCAGTCTACATAATTTACCATTTTCTTGTTCCAATCTTTGCTTAAATGCTGCTTCCTCAGTGAGGTCCATCTGACCACCCCATTTAAAATGGCAACCCCACCTCAACTCTCTGGATTACCCTCACCTTGCTCTAGTTTCTTTTTGCCTACAACACTTACCATCTCCTAACATGCTTTGTAATCTCCTCAAATGTATAATATTTGTTGTTTAGGGTTTGTCTCTGTCCACTGAAATGTAGCTCTTTGTAACTTTGTGTCCGCTGAAGAAACTCAAGTGCCTAGAATAGTGTCCATAATATAATGAAAGAATCTAAATGATAAAACTGGTCAATTTTTCCTTTTTATACTTTTCTACATAACAAAAAGAGCACACAAAGAATAACGAACCTTAATAGATGTCTTTGACCATGCAGAAAGACACAGCATTGCTTGGTCAGCTGTCTTCTTCCCCCGACCCAGCATTTCACAGATTCAGGCAGACATTTTCATCTGCTTGGAAAAAATTAGCATGCACCTCCTACTCTGTCTGATCCAATTATAGTATCAATAAAATGGACAGTAATAACCAATAATTATCAGAGTCTCACCACATGCCAGGCACAGTTTTCAGTACCCACACATCTTGACCCTTTTATCTTTGTCAACAACCTGACATGATAGGTACTGCTTTTATCTCCATTTCATAATAGAAATGGATAAAAAATATTCAATAAATTGCCCAAAGTCATACAGATTTGAAGGTGTGGAGCTGGATTTGAACCCATGTGGTCTGACTTCAGAATCCAAGTACTCTCTTGTTTCTCAACAATTAGATAAACCAGACACTTGTCAACCTTACTCAAACTGAGCCTCAGCAAACTCCAAATGTCATGAATTTTAAGTCTTTCCTTAAGGAACAGAGAACAAGGGCATAAGATTCTCACCAGATACCCTAAAAGAAAGAATGAGCATTCTAATCCTCTGCCTTTTACAAACCAGACACTCTAGAGTTGGAGAAATGGACTCTAGGACCTAGAGAGTCCCCTTGTAGTCCCCCATTGCAGTTCTTCTATGATCAACATGCCAAAGTAGATTCCCCAAAATAAACTAATTACCCATTATATATAAGAAAATTAAAATGGCTCTTTTGATTGCTGGAAATGGGTCTGGTTTGAGCCAGATTAACCGCATTTCCTTTTTAAGTAGGGTTATTAAATGGGGAGATCAAAGGATTGCTACAGACATATGGTATCTTGATTTCAGCAAACCATTTGACAGTCATTCAGGATGATAAATCTTGTGGGCAAGGTGGAGAATGTGGTTTGAATGGGAAGATGGGGTGTGCCCTCATGGCTGCTGCAACAGTGGTATCCAAGGAAGATTGATTAATAGACATCAACTTGGAGAGATGTTGCTAGTACTGCCTGCCAATGGGCTCTAGCCTTGAATACACCTGAACAATTTTTTTATCAAAGATATGGGTGATGTCATAGAATCATGCTTATGGTGTCTGCAGAGAGTAAAATGCTGTGGGCAGTAGCTGACACACTGAATCAAGATTTTAAACCATCACCACTGATTGGAAATGAAAGAGCAAAGCAAGCAAGATTCAATTTAACAGAGACAATGGAAGACTCTTGTGAAATTTAAGTTCAAAATACCAATTGCACGCATGGAATAGGAAAACACCTCATGTTAAAAACTGTTACTATAAAGGAAAGGAGTTTGTCAGGCAATAAGAGGAAAAATGCACCAACAGTGTCGTGCAATGGTTAAAACAACAAAGACTACCTTAGTCCTAGTGGAACATTCATATAAAGAAAGGAAAGTGTCTAGTGATGCTCTGCATCTGTGGCAGAAGGCAACCAGAGTGGGAGGGGCCTGGAAGCTTGACATTAGGAGTCCTGATTGAAGGAACTGAAGTTGTTTTACCTGGGATAAAGAAAGCTTAGAAGGGATCATAACAGTAACCTCCAGGCCCTTAAAAGATGTTCTGAAAAAGAGGTTACAGGCAGATCCTATATGACTCCAGACACCAGAACAAAACTAAAAATTTGGCATTACAAAAAGAGAGATTCATTCTCATTGTAGATAAGGACTGTTTGAGAATAGGAGCTATCCAGCAATAAACTCTGGGCAGGGGTGGCTACTTCCCACTCCAGGGAGTCTCAGAGGGCACAGAAACCAGATGGGCTGCCATTTAGGATATTTTTTTAAATTCCCACTCTGGGTGAGAAGTTGGATTCAATGGGTATTAAGGTCTTTCTCAACTCTAAGATCCAAAGATTCTATGACTCTTGTAAAATTAACTTTTACTTAATTAATTTCACTTTGAAAAACTTAGGCACTTAACAATTAAGTAATTCTTTAGCATATGGATGCCGGGGTTCTCAAATTACTATTTCAGTACAGCTAAATTTTCTTATGTTCATTAATGGGTTGAGAGATGGACATGAATGTCAGAAACAAAAATTGACTGTACTTGTCTTAGTCATTCACAAAGATGAGCTAGACAGGCTCCCTGCCCCCTGGGCTTACAGTCTGGTGGGAGGGCTCCTCAAAACTTTGCTTCGGCAGAGCTCGGTCGCTCAGTCTGTAATCCCGCCCCTTGGGAGGCCGAGGCGAGTGAATTGCCTGAGCCCGCGGGTTCGAGACCCGCCTGGGCAACTTGGCAAGACCTCGTCTCTACAATAAATCAAAAAAATTAGCTGGGTGTGGTAGTGCGCGCCTGTAGTTCCAGCCACTTGGAAGACGGAGGCGGAAGGATCACCGGACCCCAGCAGGTCGAGGCTGCAGTGACCGTGAGCGGCCACTGCACTGCACTCCAGTCTGGGTGACAGAGTGAGACTCCAACTCAAAAAAAGAAAACAAAAACCAAAAAAACTTTGTTTAAACAAATTTCAACCCTAGAATGAGATCCTTACATTCAGAAACAACTCCTACCTCATTATTTTTATTTCCATTTATTATTAAAATGCAATTCATGAAGAATTCTTGATACAAGAAGAAAGTACTTTAGGGAAATTTCGTGATTAATAGTTTGCTCCGAGCCCGTGTGGTAGGCTGTGGGGTCGCCGCCGCTCGCGCCATGACTTGGGTTCGGACCGCGCCGCAGCCCCTCGGGAGCCGTGGGCCCTCGGAGCCTCTTTAGTGCCGGACTGCGGGCTGCAGGCAGCTCCGCTGCAGCAGGACACCAGAGCCGCTGGATGGACTCTCCCTGGGAAGCTTTGCTGACTTGCAGCAGCTGGACTATGTTCCTCGTTCACAACTGTCTGTCAGCATAGTCGTCACGTCATTTCACTGTGCTCTTGAGGCGAGTGGGCCTCTAGGCAAGATGTCCCTTCCCATAGGGATATGCCGCTGGGCATTCAATTATGACGATGCCCTTGAGGACCCTGCGCCCATGACTCCTCCTCCCTCGGACATGGGCAGCATCCCCTGGAAGCCAGTGATTCCAGAGCACAAGTACCAGCACCTCGCCAAGGTGGAGGAAGCAGAGCCCAGCGTGTCCTCTCCTGCCATGACCCTGTCATCGACCATTGACAGAACGGACAAGGTCCCGGTGGTGAAGGCCAAAGCTGCCCATGTCATCATGAGTTCTCTGAACACAAAACAGACCCAGGAAAGCATTCAGCGTTTTGAGCAGCAGGCAAAACTGAGAGATGCCGGCTACACACCGCACAAGGGCCTAACGGCCGAGGAGACCAAGTACCTTCAAGGGGCCGAAGCGCTCCACAAACTCAAGCTACAGAGCGGAGAGATGGCGAAGGAAGAGAAGCAGCCTGCGTCCACCCAGTCCACCCCGAGCAGCAGCCCGCACTCCTCCCCCAAGAGGCCCAGATGCTGGTTCACTTCTGGCTCTTCTGCAACCTTTCCTGGTCCCAACCCCAGCCCCATGGACCCCGGAAGTGGGGATAGGGACAGACCCGCATCAGATAAATGCAGCCTGTTTGGACCAAGATCCCTCCAGAAGTATGATTCAGGAACTTTTGCCACCCAGGCCCACCCAGGAGCCCCGAAGCCGTCTCCAATGGAGCTGACCCGCGTCCAGGTCACCCGGATGGCTGAGGATCCAGTAACTTTCAGGACCCCCAAAATGGACGTCCTGGTGATGGAAGGGAAGAAGCCACCACCACGGGCCCATAGTCTCAAACCCCGAGACTTGAATATGTTCACCCCCACCGGCTTCTAGAGCCCTGTCTATTCCAGGAATGCTGGAAAGGCGGTTTCGCGTACCCCATACCCCTTCCGCCTTGGCTCGGACATAGGAAAGGAACATGTTTTTAAAAGTCTGTTAAACTGAGGCCAGAGCTGGAGACATGGTTCGTTTTTGAGACGCATTACTGCAAAGCTTGCTGTTGTATGGAGGGAGCCATTTTGTGCAGTTTTTCTGTTGACCCACTGGGCTCCGGCGATCCTTCCACCTCTGCCTTCCAAGCAGCCGGAATCACAGGCACGCGCCACCACACCCGGCTGATTTTTTGGTCTATTGTAGAGACGAGGTCTCACCAAGTTGTCCAGGCTGGTCTTGAACCCCTGAGCTCAGGCAGTTCTCTCACCTCTGCCTCCCCAAGCGCTGGGATGGTAGGCCTGAGCCACCATGCCCGGCATTTTTCTATGGCTTTCAAGGAAGACGAAGTCATCCCCGCCATGACCTCACGATGAGGGGCCTCACTTCCTGTTTGCTTTTCGTTGGCCCAGGACAAGAATCCTGCTCCCAAGCCAGGCTTCTCGAGCCTTTGTCCAAGGCTCATGGGAGCACTGGCAAGTCAGGGTGTGCAGGGACTCGCCACCAGCTGCAGCAGTGCTGGCCTGGCCCGGTCAGGAGCCCTAGATGCGACTGAGGCCTGAGGCAGATGAGCCAGGCTCCGCAGGGCCCTCTGTCCAGGCTGAACCTGGCTGGAGTCTTCCTGCTTGGGGTGGACCGAGCAGGTTGCTGCCCAGTGCTGTTGGGCATGCTTCTGTTTTCCGTCAAGAACAAACACGAGTCCTCAAAGCCTTTCTTGCACTTTAACACGACATTAATTGAACTCTTGTTTGGTTGAAAACTTCCTGAGGGAGAAATTCAGCCTACAGATTTGGTCCGTATGAGTGAGTGTTACCATTTTTAAAGTCAGAGGATGGTAGCTAGTTGGGTTGTGCCAACCTGAGGCTCACGGACACTGTCACCTTGTTTTGCTTTCCTTGTTCAGGTCAGGGTCTGAAACATTCTTGGCAAGGAGGTGGAAGAATTCCGAGCATCTCAATGAAGGCATTTTCCACCAGCACGAGCCTCACACCTTTATGCAACTTCCCTTCCTGAGGAAAGGCAAGCAGGACACTGCCCTTCCCGCCTCTTCCCCAGGTGCCCATGAGTCATGGTCGTGAACGCCGTCTCAGATCCCTGTTTTGTGTTGGGCAGAGTACCTTGGCTGCACCACACTGACCTTTCCAGAGAGAGGCTCTGGAGTCTCAGACGATCAGAACCGTTAATTTATTTGTGTCTTCTAGTATCTCCTGTTTTGACAATAAAAATCCTTACTACTTTCTCAAAAAAAAAAATAGTTTGCTCCAGGCGTAGTCTTCTTATGATTTTTTCAATAGAATGACCCACAAAATCTTGTGTACCACAATTTCCCTTTAGCTGAAGTCTCACTCTGTCGCCCAGGCCACAGCCTTGACCTGGGCTCATGCAATCCTTCCACCTCAGCCTTCCAAGTAGCTGGAACTACAGGTGTGTGCCACTATGCCTGGCTAATTTTTTTTATTTATTGTAGAGATGAGATCTTGCCAAGTTGCCCAGGCTGGTCTCGAACTCCTGGTAATTCCTCAGGTAATCCTCTCACCTCAGCCTCCCAAAATGCTGGGATTATAGACATGAGCCACTGTGCCCAGGGTGTACCACAATTTTTAATAGAGTGAAAAGAAATTAAGCTGAACTGTCAAGATAAAATTCCAACTATGTTTAAAATTATTCTTGACCCTAAAATTTGAAAGTGTCACGTGAAGTCAGTGAATCCTCAAGACTCTTGGGTTAGCATGGGACAATAGAAGAAATTTTATATTTCATTGGAACTTAAAGGTAATGTTCATTAAAGGTAGACTAGAAACTCTGAGACTGAAAACATTTCTGTGAGCTTATGTGGACTTTATATTTTCCTGGTGCCATTGTGTAGAAAAGGCTCCCACATACAAGAAGAGAGATATCTTTATTGTGACCATCTTAACAATATCAGTCCAACAGAATCTCAAGAATTTCCTAGGTAAAGTAATTCAGCAGTTTTTATTTAAAAGCCTATTCCAGTACAAGAAGAAAAGCCTAGAAAGAAATGTCTTTCTGTTACTGGTTATGGGGAAATTACAGTCATGAATTATTAACCTTTGAAAGATTGCTTTCTTCTCAGTTGTTCTGTGATGGGTTTAAAAGCAGCTTTCAATAAAGGATCTCATAATGCCTCAGAGAAACTCGCTGAGCAGGGACAGAAGGAAAAGAAACTTAACCACAGTTACTGTAATATCCAAAAACACATCAACCAGACTGTAAAAGGTTTTAACAAGTGGCAGGATGAACAGAATGGGGAGGAAAAGCAGGGTCATCTTTTCAAAACCAGAATGAGCCTATGATCAGTGTTGCCACGCCAACCCAAAATGAGCAATTCACCCAATGTGTTATTTCCTAGTTCCTTTCCGGGCTTAGCAGTTTCTGTGTCTGCTCTGGTTGAAATTATGCTTCTCAAATAGGGAGTTTGGTTCTCCCAGGACTGTCACTGACCCATTCCACAGGGCAATAAACAGCACTCTCAAAGGCTGGCAAACAGAACATTGAGAAATCGAGGGGGTATGTCTTCGTCATTGTAGATTTCCGTTCCTTCTGTGCACCTTCTCACTGCTGAAGCACTGAAGATTTCCTCCCATGCCAATAAAGAGCCTCAAGCTGTGAATCCACTAAAAGGTAGTAACAGTCATTTCCAGACCCACCACAGAGCACTCTGGCAGGGGCTGGGGGTGTAGCTAATACAATAATCCTGGGGTAAATAGTTTCAGAAAAAAGTGAGAAGCATCACCTCTACCATACTTATAGCCCTATGTCTTTGCCCTCATAGTTTGAAGATGAAACAGACTGTCTTTGTTTGGGTTTCTCCAGAAGTAGACCCTATGATTGCCAAGTACAAGTTTAAATGTAAATAGTTTATTTGGGAGGTAACTCCAGAAAATACCCATAGATGAGAAAGGAAGGCAGCAAAGACAGGGAGCTTTATCAAATAAGGCTGAGGCAGAAGTATTGCCTGAGCCCAGGAGATCGGAGCTGCAGTGAGCTGTGATCATGTCAGTGCACTCCACCCTGGGAGACAGAATGAGACCCCGACTCAAAAAAAAAAATTCATCACTGCAAGCAACTGGAGCTCAATCCTACCAGAGAACTCTGAGAAATACTATAGAACATGCAGCAGAATTCTCCCATCTAAGGAGTAATGAAGCCAGAGCATTCATCCACCAAATCCTTGTCCATCATTGGTTGAGTGCTGCTTCAGGGCTATTAACTAGCTGGCACCTCTGGTCTTCCCTATGTGCAAAGTCATGCATGGTCCATTAGCCAGTAGAAAACGAAAGCCCCAGGCAGAATCACAGGTGTTTGCAGTAGCCTTCATTCAGCATGACAGGTAAGATACACAGAACACCAACAGTGTCTGCTGTACAGATTGAAAAAAAGCTGAGATACAGGTGAGCATAGAGTTTTAGAAAAGTTGCGGGTGGCAGCCATAAAGAACAACAAAATCATGAACTTCGCAACAACGTGGATGGAATTAGAGCTTATAATACTGAGTGATCTCTCAACAGAAACAAAGAGATGAGTATCACATGTTCTCACTCATAAGTGGACCTTGAACAAGTACTGTATTACTGTAGGAAAGGGATTGAAAGTAGCGGGAAACTATAGGGAGGGGGTAGGGGGGATAGCTGAGATTGACGGTAGTCGATATTCACCTGGGAAGGGGGGGCACACCTCAACAATAAGGGTACTTCCACAATGAACATTTGTATACCTAACCCTGAATTGTACCCCACAATTTCAAAATAAAAATTTTTAAAAAGAAAAGTTGTAGGTGAGGAGAAGAACTCCTGTTCCACTTCAAAGAGAAGATGAAATGTCAACTGAGTACCAAAGAATGAAGAGAATTATCCAGCGAAAATGTTCCAGGAGGAAAGAATGGTGTGTATATACATAGACATAAAGAATGACAAAGCCTAGAAAGTTAGAGAAAATAAGTAGTTCAGTATGACTGGCGCATAAAGCTGAACTAGGATGGAAGGTGGAGAAGATAGAGAGGAGCAATGGGTGGTAAAGAGATGAAGTTTGCAAGTGAACAAGAGCATATCGGGAAGGGTCTCAATTTTAATAAAGTAATTCCCCTGGAATCATAGCAGTGCATGGCACAAAACTCTAATGGTTGGAAATATAACCATGGACTCATACCTGGATTCTAATTCTGGGCCCCATCACTGTCTAGCTATTGCTACCTGGAACAAATTGCTAACCCTCATAAAATGGAAAAATAATGGTACCTCTCTCATGGAATGATTGTGAAGGTTAATTCATATAAAGCTTTTAGCACAGAGCCTGACAAACAGCAGAATTCAGTAAGTGTCGCTGAAGAGTAAAATCAATTCACTTGAAAAATGAGAAAAACGTCACTGCAGTACAATGGGAAAATGATATTTGTTTTTTTCAGTAAGTGGCAATGGGCCAATTGTGCATTCATATGGAAAGCTATTAATCTTGACGCCTACCTCACACCATATCAATTCCATATGAATCATAGACCGAAATGGCAAAGGAAAAACAAAAATAAACTTTTAAATCATTGAATATATCTTCATGACCTTGAGGTTGGTGAAGAATTTGTTTAAGAACAAACAGAAGAGAACACGCAAAAAACTAACTGTAAGGAAAAGGTTTAGTAAACTGGACTACATAAAAATAAAAACTTCTGCCCTGAAAAATAACACTAAGAGAGTGAAAAGGCAAGCCACAGAATAAGAGAAGTTATTCACAATAGCTATAGCTGGCAAATTACTCATATTCACTATACATGAAGAATTTCTAAAAGACAATAAGGAAGGGTGCAAAGAATCTCACTGAAAAATGAGCAAAGACCTTGAACAGGTAATCCACAAAAGAGAATATCCAAATGGTGAAAAATATATTAAAAGGTGTTCAATCTCACAAGCCATAAGAGAAATGCAAATTAAAACCACTATGAGGTTTCATTACACACCCACCAGAATAGCTACAATTAAAAAGATAATGCCAGTGTTGGTGAGAATGTGGAGCAACTGGAACCTTCATATGCTTCTGGAAGTATATATTGGTACAACTAGTTTAGAAAACTATTCAACCAAACATATTCATCCCTTTTGATCCAGCAATTCCACTTTTAGATATATACCAAACAGCTATGTATACATTAGCT